GGGGGAGAAGGAGGACGTAAATAATAAAAAGGAGGAAAAGGAGGAGATTGGACGAAAAAGGAGGAGAAGGAGGACGTATTTAGTAAAAAGGAGGAAAAGGAGGAGATTGGACGAAAAAGGAGGAAAAGGAGGAGATTGGACGAAAAAGGAGGAGAAGGAGGACGTATTTAGTAAAAAGGAGGAAAAGGAGGAAAAGGAGGAGCATTAACATACCAGTGCTTAAATGCAATCGTGATCTTTATGAATATCGACTGCACTCTTCAGGACATTCTTTTTATTTTCTCGATTTTTTGTAATGTTTCTATCTATCATATCATTTATTCATGCATATGCATTATTTGATTGACATTGGCGGTTGTTGATTATCCTATTGTATTCCCTTGTAAAGCAATGGTTGTTCTATTGGGCGAATAGCAATAAACTTTTTCACGCGTTAAGTTAACAATAATAGGCCAGTAAGAAACATGATCGAAAATCCGTTTCATGGGATTGAGTTGACTTTTGAGTTGTTGTGAATTGAACTCGTTCAATGAATTGAGTTGAATTGAGTTGAAAAATTTTTGGAACATATATGAATCGAATTAGAAAGGCTTGTCTCAGTTAATGAATTGAGTTGAGTTGAATTGAGAAAATTTTCTACAGATCATCGAATTCAGTTGAATTGAGTTCTACATTTCTTTCAGTGAATTGAATTGAATTGGGCCCAGTTTTGAGTTGAGTTGCCCAGCTCTGTAGCAAAGTAACTAATCAATTCCCCTTTCTCTATCCCTTATATAAATACCAGTATTTTCATCCATTCATTCATATTTCTAGTTAATACATAAGTAAGACAAACCATCTTCAGCTAAATCATCACCATTACATCCATCCCCACTCATCATCCAATCCTCTGCTTATTCTTACCAATATGCTTAAATCTACTCGAAATTCACTTAAAACAGTGTATTTGGCTTGTATTTGCTTGAATTTAGTGTGTTTCAGCTTTTTTAAGCTAGAATTAGCTAATGTTTGATCATTTTAAAGCTATTAAGCCATCAGATGAGATCTTTAACGGGATCGAAACGTGTCATGGCAGTTTGTCTCACCCTCACACCCCTCACCCTCACCCTCGCTTGTAGGAAAAAGTTATTCATAATATTTTGCTTTATAATAATTGACATATGAAATTATAATGGTGGACAATTTACACAATGTTCTAGTTGATAACGTTTGTCTAACAGAGGGAGAATACATTTATGATGATGTAATAGAAATTAAAAAAAGTCCTCGTGACGTAAGGATATAGGTTTAGACAGGAGAAAGGGGCAGTCAAGACTGCTACATTTCTAGATGAGGTTGTGATCGAAGAAGAGACAATCATTCCAAACGACATGCGCCCTTTTTTAACTGGTCATAGGGCAAAAATTCCTCTTGGTACGTCTGTTAAAAATTCATCGCTTTGCAAAGCTTCAGATTATTTATGAAACGAAATCTCATTAAATCTTTCTGTTATGAAGGCATAACGATAAGTCTTGTTCGAGTAGACTGGTATTGGAACGAGGGAGGAGCTCCCTCAAGGGTCAACGATGTCAGAAAAATGATTGACTTATTCGTTGCTTTGTCAAAGTTGTACGATTCAATTTCGAAGTTAAAATGTGGATCAAGCAAATATTCTTCTTCATCAAAAACTGAATACGGTGCTATATCCGTGCCATCTAGTACTTCATCGACGTCAATGACGAAAAGAACATTGCCAATCAGTTCTGCTTGCGCACGATTGCGACTCGTCGATGTAAATGCTATATATAACTTGTAAGAGTAACATCCCTTCTCTCTTAAAATGTGTTTAACTGACGACTGGTATTGTTCGATTAAGTGATCGGGCAAATTGGCTCCTCGGTATACAGTTGTTCTTTTGGACACATGATGCAGACTACGCTCCCGCTTCATCTTTACCAGAAGGTGAGCGAATGGACCAAACGTGGCTAGTTTACTTTTCCAAAGTTGTCGCTCCCATAATTCTTCATGGCTGTCGTCTTTTACTAATCTCATCACTTCGTTTAGTTTCTTGTAAAGGAACGATTCCGTGGTGTAGAGACGAGCACAACATTGCCATACGATCTCCCGAGTTTCGTTTTTGACGTTGAGTAGTTGTTGGGCCATCCATTCTGCTTCCCTTCGTTTGCCTACCTTTTCTCCTTCAACGATAAGTCCTTGAGCTGCCTTTTCAATCAACGTTCGGCGCCCAGTACTGTCATCGTACGAGTCTGGTTTCAGATTGAAACAGTTTAACGCTTCTTGGCCAAAGTCCACGTCAAAACCGTCTGAGAGAGGGATAGAACCATTAATAGCGGTAAACATGAACCTGTTTTTTCTGAATCTTGGTTCACCTTCACTTCGTTTGGGTGAATCCATGGGAAACGTACCACGTTTACATCGACTTTCTCTGAATTTCCTCAAACTTTCAGGGTTTGTAGAGCTCGTTGAGCTGATCATTTTGGTATAAAAATATCTTAGGTTTGTCCCTTTTTTTACCCCGAACGAGCCAAAATACAGTTTTACCAAAACACCAAAAAACACGAAAATTTGGGCGGTCCGCCGACAGTGTTTTGCATATTTTATCTCTATAGAAGATCGAAACCCCAACTATTTATACATATTCCGATAGCCCGTCTTCCGCTCTATCAAACCATATGTGAATAAAAACTATAAGTTTGATTGGGTGAGCCTATGGAGGTGCATGCGTTCATGAACTTGTCAGCCCTATATCTCAGCTCCGCCGAATTTGGGAGAGCGGAGCCATAGTGGGTTTTGTAGAGCGTCGCTTGCTCTACCAGGTGGCATATAGGACTTCCAACCCGGTTTCGGTTTTCGTCCGGAAGAGAGCTCCAAACATTTATCCAGCCGTACAGTTAAGCGATTTTCGATGTTTTACTCATTATTTTTCTAGATTTTTTCCATAAAATGGTGAAAAAGTTGCAAGAGAGTGTGAAACAGATCAATCAAAAGATAATAGAGTTAGTTGGAGCGACACAATACTTGTCCATTATGTTTAAAGCGCTGAAAGTAGGTAAATAATTCCGTCGTCCCAGGAGAAGTGATTCTACGATGGGATCGTCACAGAGCAAGCATTGGAAACTGTCAAATCCGTGGGGAATCTATCGAAACATGTTGGACTTCTTGCTATATGAATCTGAACGGTAGTTTTCGGATGTCGGCAAGTACTGGATATGCTTGGGATCCTGTCGAAGCCCTGAAATTCCCAAATTTTTCCGACATTCGTCAACTCATAATCGAATTCCTATACCGAGGATTCGCCGCTTCCCGACAAAATCCTATCCGATCCGATCGGGTTTATTTCACTTGGGACACCTCAAACCCTCCACTGCTGAAGTTGTCGAGTTTTGCCCACTATTGAGACCTTTAGCACACTGCATCTATCACTTGATTTTTTTACTTGCTTTTATTTATTTTATCATTCTGGCAAAAAATTTTATGCGAAATTGCATATATTCACTTCTAGATTCGATATCTATGATTGTGAACAGTCAAAAATGTGTAACTGATGTACAGAGATTTGGTTATCTGTGAAATATATCCCGTAAAAAGCATCATTGATGGTAAAACTTTTACGTTTACGTCTCAACTAGTGGCGATCGACTTTTACCATCGTTGTATAACTATTTTATCGAAAAAGTCTAGAAAAATCATGAGTAAAACATCGAAAATCGCTTAACTGTACGGCTGGATAAATGTTTGGAGCTCTCTTCCGGACGAAAACCGAAACCGGGTTGGAAGTCCTATATGCCCCCTGGTAGAGCAAGCGACGCTCTACAAAACCCACTATGGCTCCGCTCTCCCAAATTCGGCGGAGCTGAGATAGAGGGCTGACAAGTTCATGAACGCATGCACCTCCATAGGCTCATCCAATCAAACTTATAGTTTTTATTCACATATGGTTTGATAGAGCGGAAGAGGGGCTATCGGAATATGTATAAATAGTTAGGGTTTCGATCTTCTATAGAGATAAAATATGCAAAACACTGTCGGCGGACCGCCCAAATTTTCGTGTTTTTTGGTGTTTTGGTAAAACTGTATTTTGATTCGTTCGGGGCCAAAACAGGCACGAACCTAAGATATTTTTATACCAAAATGATCAGCTCAACGAGCTCTACAAACCCTGAAAGTTTGAGGAAATTCAGAGAAAGTCGATGTAAACGTGGTACGTTTCCCATGGATTCACCCAATGCATTCCTAAACAAATATGGAAAGCTTTTACTCGAATATGGTGGCAACTTCAGCGACGTGCTTGAATGGCATTTGTGGTGGCTTTTATGATTGCGGTGATTTGTGTCGTGATTTGAGGAGCGCTCAGGTGGATGGCTTCGTAGTCCGTTGAATCGCGTAATATTAGCGCTTATCGTTTTGGATTTGCCCTCATTCGGCGTTTTGTGTTGGTTACAGTATAATTTAATAGGAGAATAAATAAAAGTGTACCGTTTTGTTAGAGATGCGCCCGTAGTAATGTTGGTGTATCCCTCTCTAGACGTTCGTTCTTTGGGACATATTACTGCATGCTTTTGCGATACATGATTGCATCCTTCGGTAGATACATACTTTCGTCTAATCTTTTTCTGTTTCGCTAAATTTTGCTCGTGGCTGCTAGTATTTATGACATAATGTTATGAGCTCTCAACAAAAAATACGTTTTCTGCTCACACCGATTTTACAAAAAACTAGCTATTTTGCTTTCGAAGGTTAATAAATAGTGACACACAAATATTTTACTCATTTCATCGTATATCAAGTTGCTAGATCGATTTGTCCCACTAATAGCAGACGCAGAAAGTATGTGTGTTCCACAGTCGAGGGTGAAGTNTCCCATGGATTCACCCTTTACAACTCGTTCGTTTAATGAGTCTTTGCTGGTTGATATTGTTATTCGATATTTGAACCATATGCCTGAGATCGACATAGTAATCATCGATAAGTACTTCATGGAATCCTTTACTGTATGCTTCTTCAATGATAGCTATTTCAACGTCAGTGTACGACTGCCATTCCTCGTGTTCCATAAGGAACCATGGATCGGTATTTGATTTCCACAACCATTTGATAGTCTGCTGTCTGTGTGCACTAAAAGTCAATGTCATATTATGCTTGTGATTAACGATAAAGAGAAAGTAATTGAGATTGTGTGTATTGCTTTCATTGGCGGGGGAGGGGGGGGCAATAAGCACTTTTTCGCAGGAAAAAGCCTACTTTTAAGAGGTTTTTTTCAAGTTTCTAGTTAAAAAATGTTTTGAGGGGGGGGGGGGGGGGTGGTGGGGGGGGGGGGGGGGGGGGGGGGGGGGTGGGGGGGGGGGGGGGGGGGGGGGGGGGGGGGGGTTGGGGTGGGGGGGGGGGGGGGGGGGGGGGGGCACGGGCGGGCCGTCACCCCGCCAACCCCCCCCCCCCCCTGGCCCGCCACTGATTGCTTTATTATATAGATCCTCACTCTCATGTGCATTACCGATGGAAACTTAAGCTATTGATGTCAGTAAGGTTCCTGAGTAAAAAAATGGGCATAGGATCAACATGATTGGAGAACAGACTAAACATTTAATCCATCGTTTTCTTACTTGTGTTGTGAGTGCAGCAATGACTCTTGATATTGGTTTTCTTTCATAAGATTATTCATTATTACATTAGCCAGATCGTGCGGTGTTGTTGCAAATCCCTTGATCTGAAAATACAGTTCTGGAACTTTTGAAAGAAGAAAATACGTTTATGATAAGACGTTACTTTCTCGTAATCCTTCGACCATAACTGATGTCTGGCGACGTTTTCCAGCGCACATTCTATATAAATACTCTTCAATTGAGATATATCATGCGCACATTGCACTATATATTGAATTGACTGACCGTTCAGTATCAGAGCAAATGTCCTGCCTTGACACTCGGAAATATAATCGATACATTTATCAATATCATCATAAGTTTCCAGTTCCAGATGACTATGCGCAGACTTAAGAATTTGCGCAAATCGATAATTTGACTCAGATGAGTTAGAATTAACATTGAGCCACACTAACGTGTTCAGTTTCAGAGTCGAGATATGTGATGCATTCATCTTTTGTACGCCTTTTTAAAGAATACAATGGTTTTGACGATGAAAGAGTAAATATTTACTCTTTTTTATGAGACTTTGCTTGGAAATTATTTTATTATCGTGGATGATAACGTATAAAACAAAGTCACTTCAAAAAACCAAATGACAAATAAAGAGCTATACACAAGTTGGAAGAAATTTGTCAAGATAAAATATCAAAAACGTTGTTTTATTGTAGTTCGATACTGATCAATTGATTTACGAAATTGTTTTCGATAAAATTTCTATGATATTACAAAAATAGCCAAAGTAAGTATTGCAAAACTAAATGAAATCAAATGTCTTCAAAGACTTAACTATGAATTGAGGGTGAGGGTGTGTGAGTTTAAAAGTAATATTTAAACGAGTTCAAAGTTAAACAACGATATCTTCTGTCCACAGATATCAAAGTATTTAGAACAAATGCAACCACAGTGATATGTTGAAGCAAGTACGAACAACTTGCAAAGAAAGATCATGAAATCAAAGCAGGAATCGAACCTACATCTTCCGATAACCGGTCGGCTATTCTACCGTTAAACTATTTGATTTTCTCTCCAACTAAGATATTAGTTGTATATCGAATATTTGTTTAAATATCTAAGATACTAGAACAATAAAGATGTCGATTGTTTAAACGAACCCGTACTGCTGCACGAGAACTTCATTCTAATACGAAGAACCTAATAAGAATCATCTGAAGCAGCAGAACAGAACTCTTTATTCACAATATTCAAGGGATATCGAAAGAATAATCAAGAATATTAGAACATTAGAGTTACTACTTCAGCAGTATGAAACCCATAAGTTAATCATTAGGAAATAAACGCAGCAAGGTGAGGGTGTGAGGGTGAGATAAGCAGCCACAACCGGTTTCGAACTTTTCACAGTTCTTCATCAGATGGCTTCACAACCCTTAAGAATGATTAAGAATGACTTATTCTATCGAAATAGAACCAATCAATCAAAATCAACCTCAATGGAGAAAGCACTGTCACAACAAACAAATATGACAAATTACGTAGAGACCGGTGGGGTAATTCGGATCAACATTTCAAAAATTGATAATGTTTTGTTTTGTTCTCCTCCGTTATACGTGATAGAAGGGTGATTTTTCCACCACAAACTAGAACCGAACATCCTCTATCTACTGGTGAAAGAATGAACTTGATACCATGTACCAAAAAAAAGATCCAGCAAAAATGGTAAAGAGATGTTGAAGTTGATCCNGAAAGTCAACATTTGCAACGCAAAGACAAAGTAAAGCTTACGCGAGAACAAATCCATTCCGTTGTCAGTTCTGAATAGTGCTGTATTCAAACCGACAACATTCATAACGCCAATTCTACCAGCTACAATATTATTCTCGAGTTCAAAATCACAGAGTTACATATTTCACTAGATACGGTTATCAACTGAATTACAACTGACTTCAAAGTCAATCTATATTCCAAAATTCTCAGTCAAAATTCCGTTCTCTCTCGGATGATAATGTATGAGCAGATAGATGTCACACACACGATTAAAAACTATCGAAATTCTATAGTTGCAAAAATCTTTTTGGATTTATTTTTTCATTTCGGGCTTCGAAATAGATTGCAGTTACTCGATCTGTTGCTGTTCAAGGAGCAGAATCGAAATGACAAGAAATTGCCGTGGAAAAATATCTTTTTTCTCCGATATGTTCTGTATGAGCACATGGGTGTCATACACACGATTAAAAATGTTTAAATTTGTATATTTACAAAATTCTTTTTCAATTTATTTTAACGTATCTTACTTTAAAACATGTTCTAATTGCTTGATTTTCTGTTATTCACTGGATAGAGTAGTAGCAACAAGTTTTATCTGAAGTATAACCCAATCAGTCGAGGGTAATGCGAGTCTCCCTCGACGAGCGTTATTTTATGTTCAACAAATTAAAATTTCGAACACGACTAATGACTGTTTTTTTTATAGCGCCATCTTTAATTAAATTCAGACTTGAAAGCTAACCAAAATTAGGCAATGTAGCTAAAAAATATCTCTTCAATTAGAAATGAAATCATTTAGAAGAATGATCGCGGATAACCGATGATTCTGGAACGCTTGTTATCCCATGGGTATAAACTCGTTTTCTTCTTCACTTCATTTCCTGATTTGTTTAGACAAGTTTTATATTTCTTATATTTCTTTTTCAGCTTCAAGTGAACATTTTTCTTAAATGAATTAAGTAATTTAGTTCAACGAAGCAGATACAGAAAGTGTCTAATCGAAGAAAAAAAAATGAACGTGATTTTCTGATGAGAATAAAATATATAAAAGAGAAAAACAATGTTTAACAGCATATTATCATATTTTATATTGTACTTATGATATGTCATGACATTTAGGTCCATTATGATACTTATGATATGTCATGACATTTAGGTCCATTATGAAGGCGAATTATCACTAAAAAACAAAGTAGAATTTTAACAATCCTTTTTTTAGTCACTAAAGAATTTTTCTGAGAATATCAAGTATATAAATGCAAGAACATTCATCTTATTGTTCAGATAAAAAATGAATTCAACTATCATTAGTAGCAACGAGCAATACACTAACATTTTTACTAGTGCTTCGTATTCATTTTGGTTTTGTTTCCTGATTGTCTGTAGTATTTTTTCGATTTCCTGTTCTGTCCTTGACTTCTATCAATTTATAAAACATCGTCGAATCTTGATCTATGAAAATATTACTCATCACATTATTCTCTGTTTAACTGTGAATGATTTTATTCAACTTACTTTCATTGAACCATTAGCATACATTTATTTTTATTTTGGACACACAAAATTTTTATATAGTACCACTTTTTGTCTGTTTTGGCCATATTTTAACTACGTTTTCGTCACTCAATCGTTACTTTTTACAGCGTATGCCGCAGTTGAACGTTATCTGCTTTTATTTCATAAACGACTTGTGCTGAAACATAAAATTTTATTTCATTATATCCCATTATTACTCACCATTCTTTACCTTCCTTGCGTCGAAATTTATTTGATCTTTTTGTTTCCATGTACACATAATTTTGATGCAACTCTATATCTATGTGGTGTGCCATGTTTTGCTAATTCATATACAGTTGGTATTATCAATCAAATTGTACATTTACTTTTTCCTGTTGTAGTTCTTGTTTTTTTCAATATTTTGATTATTATCAAAGTTTTAATACAAAGGAAAAATTCTGCTGCAGCTGCCGGTGCAACTTTTCTAAGGAGTCATTTCTGGAAACAAAACAGTCGGATGATAATTCAATTGATGGCCATATGTCTATTAGCATCTGCAGTTTGGATACCGTATGTAACAACAGTTTTGATCATAATATTTAGTGATCCTGGATTAGGTGATTCAATAATCTACTTCAATATTCTCAACGGAGCTTTTTTACCTCTGCCTACGACACCATTCTTTGCTCTGATTGGATTTCCAGCAGAAATAAGAAGAAATATATTTATTTCAGTGAGGAATCTCAAAACAATATGTCGAACGCATAATCGTGTTGCAGATATAATGCCAAGAACTGAAAACAATTGACGATGCTTTACAATATACTAACAAGTTTTTGTTGTTGTTCGTGATACGTAATCATAGTTTTCTGTTATAGCAATAATAGAAACATATCAAATAAACTATTCTCTTCAATTCTATTTAACAAAAGAATTTGTCCTATTCACCCTCACACCCTCACCCTCACCCCACACCCACACCCTCAACCATTACTTTGGAAGCAAGACGCGACTTCAGGACAAAAAATCCTCCAAAATGTGCTACACGAAGACCCATGAGCAGCCCCGAAATGCGCCATGATATGTGTCAAAACTTTGATTCTGTGCAAACTGATAGACAGACAGTCAGACAAACTATGTTTTCCTATGATCCTCCTTACAGTCGAGGAAATTACAGCAAGTATTATAAAAGTAACATCCCTTCTCGTTTTATTTTAATTTGTTTGTAGCACACTTTTTCACTAATATGTCGATATGAGCAGCGAGAATCTATTTGTATCTGTACAACGAGGCAAAAAGTTGACTTATGTATAGTGAAAGCCATAAAATGACTGATTAACTATGAAAACCAATATCCTGATTTTTCTCCTGATTTAAAGAAAAACTTCTCCTGAAAAGCTCCTGATTTTTTTTGCAAACTACTGATTTTCAAAATTTTAATTTGGCAACCCTGGGTAAAACTCCTTTTTTTGTTTCAGAGTGTGCACGACGACATCACGTCGCCCTAACAAGTAGAGACAGTGAGACGATTTGTGCTAGAAAAAAAATATTGTGGCTCATTTATTTATCAATACGTGTTTTTTTATCAACCAATAACGGAAAAAGAGAAAGAAAAATGATAGTTCTTCTCATTTTACTCTCATTTTGTGTTTTGTAAAAGATTGACAATTTTTCTCTCACTCTGTCTGTTTCACTGGTGCTCGGCCGAATTTGTATTCAACTATTTAATATAACAAAGTTAGAGAATCTTAAATATGCTTATAAAAAATATCTTGAAACTATTTTTATGGGTTTTGATCAATTCATATCAATTGGTCGGATATCGAGGTAAGGGAGAATAGGACATACAGTACTGGCCAAAATTATAAGAACGAGTTTTTTTTCAAAGTGTTAGCGTGTTCTCATCTCCTCTTTTCCTATTTAGACTAATTTAAAAATCAGTATATATACATCCAAGTACTCGAATGTGTATATACTGATTTTTAAATTAGTCTAAATAGGAAAAGAGGAGATGAGAACGCGCTCGCATTTTGAAAAAAGCTCTGTTCTTATAATTTTGGCCAGTACTGTATGTAGGCATCATATTAATAGAGGCTAATATTGACAAATCAGTGTAAAGGTAAATTTTTGTCATAAACGGAGGAAGTGAGGAAGATTCGTTTTGCACGAAATAGCACGTGTTTGTTATAACCTTTATTTGTCGGAGAATATATAAAAATGAAACATAGTTTTTGTTTTATTTTACTCACATAAATGAAAAAAAATGAAATAGAAGGACAGTTTTTTATTATATTGGTCATCTAAATCTAATTAATAGAATAAGAAGATTCGACAAAAAAGAAAATTAGGGAACGCCTGGAGTTGAACCGAGGGACCTCTCGATTTGCGGTCGAGTGCTCTACCACTGAGCTACATTCCCGTTATCAATGATTATCCTATTCATTTATTTATTTAGTTATCTGCTGCGAGAAATAAAATGGAATAATATCACTAGTAAACTTATAATCTTGAAAGTTATCTCGTAAGTATTTCAAAAAGAGAATTTCTAACTCGAATTACAGTTGAGAACATTTGTTCCACGGCTTCTGTAATCAACTGTATAAGAAAGATTTACTTATATTCGATTGACACAAATGAAAATTAACAGAAAAGAATCAACATCTGTGTAACATGCACAACATCATCTGACAGTTAATCCATCTTTTGTTGAAGAATAGTAAAATGTAGAAATTGCATAATTTAATGAAAGATAATGAAACTTATGAGAACTGCAAATTTTCTGTTGTACAAATTGAGAAAATCGGTTAGGACTCTCTTATTAAATATATGATTTATTGGAACCATTCTGGAAACCGTGATCGTGTTTTCATAAACAGTCGATCGAGTCAGTGTTTCTAACAGAAATCTGAAATAAAAGGTTCATTTACATTGTATTCGCGCAATCAGAGCGCACGATGACACTTTGTTTTTTCAGACAACATGTCATAAAGTACGAATGCTGTGGAATGCTCGAGTTACATTAGTAAAGAGAATTTTGTTCATGTCTGTACATCGAATTTAGTAAAAATAAAAAATACCTGATTATATTAGATAAAGCACCTCCCCATCTGATATTTCATACATGAATTACAAAGAAAATATAGCAAAATAAATAATGCTCGTTGAGGCAGACTCGCATTACCCTCGACTGATTGGATTATGCTTAAGGTAAAACTTGCCCCTAGAAACGACATCTTGAGAGCGGTCCTCATCAATTTCACGCTTTTTCAAAACTAACCAAAGGACTGCCATCGTTCTTGTTATTTATGTAATTAATGTTGATTAACCCTTTCAGACCCATAGTATAAAAAAAGCAACATCTGTTTATATAATTTTTTACCACATAATTGATAAAAATTAGTATGAAATCTTTCGAAAGAAAGCAGTCTAGTGTTATATGACGGTCTAGGGATGTGTGTCGTAGACATTTACTCTATATGTTTTTTTTTCTTTTCTTTCTTCATATATGATACTATTCTTCCTTACTTCGGAGGTATAACATGTGAATACATGTCATCGTTTTTTGACATTCTCATTCTCTATTTAATCCTGAATAGACCATATATATATATATATACGTGTTTTCTTTTTTGTATACATCATCTAAAGTATACATCAGAACGCTTCTTTTTCGTTTTATAAGTAAAGAAAACTTCTAATAGACACAACGTCTTATAATCTGTAAAGAAAATAAAAATATTTATCGGGAAAGTTCTCGAAAGGTTTTAGCTGTTCTTCAAAAAGACTATGTAAAGTGATGGTTGCGGTTAGTCTACGCTACAAATATTAGTACATAATCAAAACAGCACTAGATTTATTGATAATTTATTCCTAAAATATAATTCGGCGAAAAAATACAAGATGTATTTTGACGAAGAAAGTATAGCAGATGATTCACCTGTCGATGACGACTCCGATTGTTATGATGAAAGTGAAAGTGATCTCGAAATTGATGATGAACCAATGATTGCTTAAGATGAAAATGAAGGAGAAGATACAATTGAAAATGAACAAACAGAACTCGAATGGAATTGGAGTCAAAATTTCGTTCAAGATACATTTTTTTCCGCCAAAGAAGTCAAGGGACACACAACCATAACTTCTTCTAATAACATCAAACCCATTGAGACTTTCAACAAGTTTTTCACACAAGATGTTATTGAATTGATCGTAAAACAAACAAATATACATGGTGAACGGAAATCTTTAGCACAAGAACATCCTTACAATTGGAGAAAAGTGAACGAGAATGTTATCCGTCCTTTCCTTGGCTTACTAATTATTATGGGTTTACATCGATTGCCACGAATAAGAGATTATTGGAGCAGGAATAAATTATTTCATACCGATATCGTAGCTAATGTTATGCCAAGAAATGAATTTTACCGAATATTTGGTGCATTACATTTATCAGATAATGCGCAACAACATCGATGTGCAAGAGATTCAAAGTTTTCGACTTCATTTGTTTACTAAAAAGGAACTTTCAAAAGAACTTTATTTTGGGAACCAACATTTCTATTGACGAAAGTATGATCAAATTCAAAGGAAAAAGTTCTCTGAAGCAGTATATGCCATTCAAACCGATTAAACGTGGATATAAAATATGGTATTTAGCAGATTCATCAACTGGATATGTTTTTAATTTCGATATTTATACTGGTAAACAAGAACACAGACAAGGAACATTAGCTGAAGATGTTGTTTTGCGGCTTATAGACAAAATCAATTTAGTGGAACATCAGCTTTTTTTTGATAATTTTTTTACATCTATTCCTTTACTATTACAACTGAAAAAGAAAAGGATCGGAGCAACCGGAACAATCAGAGTTAATACGAAGTTATTTCCTACAGAACTTTTACGAAAAGAGAAACTGAACCAAGGTGAATATAAATACTTTTCTTCTAACCAAATATCAGTTGTCAAATGGCAAGATAAGAAACCAGTGTTTATTGCAAGTAACTCTTTTGATCCGAAAAAAAACGGAAACAGTCACTAGAAGAGAAAAGGATGGTTCAAAACGACTTGTTATTTGTCCACAAATAGTATCTAAATACAATCAATATATGGGTGGCGTCGACTCATTTGATCAACGAATCTCTTGTTATTCTATTGACAGAAAGTCTAGACGAAACTGGTTTCGTGTTTTTATTGATTTTTTTCTCACAAGTCTTTCTAATGCGTTCATCTGTTACAACGATCTTAATGAACAAAAGATGGTTTATGTCGAATTCCTTTCTTCTATTTCCATGGACCTTATTGGTGATGTAAGTCTACGAAAAAGAAGAGGTAGACCTATTCTTTTTTCTGCACAAAAAAGACGACAAGTTCAACTGGCTCATGATAACAAGTTTTCCTCCACTCCATCATTGGGACATATGCCTGTTGCTGGACGTAAAGGAAGATGCGGATATTGTAGTACAAAAGCTCGTCCAATATATAGTAATATAAAGTGTAGTTTTTGTGACATTTCTTTGTGTGTAAAGCAACACAAAAATTGTTTTTTGTTATTCACGAGAATATTTTATAGGCTTTACATCTAGTAAACATCAGGAATCAAAACTTTATTGAGATCACATATGAAACATTCAGAGTGTTTATGACATACCTTCCTGTGACCAAAATAAGCTAATTTACGAGTTTATTTTGATCCAAATCGGCAAAAAATAATTTGGGTCTGAACGGGTNGGAGTACTACCAACTGAGTAAGTGACTTGAGCAGAAAAGGTGCCATTGCCTGTATTCCTTAAAACGCTAACAGAACTTGCACCACTATTTGCAGTAACTATATCAGGTTTGTTGTCCTCATTTACATCGACAACTGCTACTGATACTGGGCTATTACCAGTTGAGTAATTAACTTGCGAAGAAAAAATGCCATTACCGGTATTCATTAGAACGCTAACAGTACTTGCACCCTGGTTTGCAGTAACTATATCAAGTTTATTGTCACCATTTACATCGACCATTGCTACCGAGTATGGGCCACTACCAGTTGAGTAGGGAATTTGAGAAGAAAAAGTGCCATTGCCTGTATTCCTTAAAACGCTAGTAGTAAGTGCACCATTATTTGCAGTAACTATATCAGGTTTGTTGTCACCATTTACATCGACAACTGCTACTGATGTTGGGCCATGATCGGTTGAGTAATTAATTTGTGAAGAAAAAGTGCCATTACCGATATTCGTTAGAACGCTAACAGTACTTGCACCCTGGTTTGCGGTAACTATATCAGATTTGCTGTCACCATTGACATCGACAACTGCTACTGAGTATGGACTACTACCAACTGAGTAAGTGACTTGAGAAGAAAAAGTGCCATCACCGATATTCGTTAGAACGCTAACAGTACTTGCACCCCGGTTTGCGGTAACTATATCAGATTTGTTGTCACCATTCACATCGACAACTGCTACTGAGTTTGGAGTAGTACCAACTGAGTAAGTGACTTGAGAAGAAAAGGTGCCATTGCCTGTATTCCTTAAAACGCTAACAGTATTTGCATACTGGTTTCCGATAACTATATCAGGTTTGTTGTCACCATTTACATCGACAACTGCTACTGATACTGGGCTATAGCCAACGGAGTAAGTAACTTGTGAAGAAAAGGTGCCATCGCCTGTATTGATCAAAACAGCAGTAGTATTTGCACCATAGTTGGCGGTGACTATATCAGGTTTGTTGTCACCATTTACATCGACAACTGCTACTGAGAATGGAGAACTACCAACTGGGTAAGTAACTTGCGAAGAAAAGGTGCCATCGCCTGTATTGATCAAAACACTAGTAGTATTTTTACCACCGTTTGCGGTTACTATATCAGGTTTGTTGTCACCATTGACATCGACAACTGATAGTGATCTTGGATAACTACCAACTGGGTAAGTAACTTGCGAAGAAAAGGTGCCATCGCCTGTATTGATCAAAACAGTAGTAGTATTTGCACCATAGTTTGCGGTAACTATATCAGGTTGGTTGTCACCATTTACATCGATAACTGATACTGAGTATGGACTAGTGCCAATTGAGTAACTAACACTGGCGAGGTACATACTATTGTATTCTATGAGCACATAAAGATATCGTTTAATTGAGCTTATTAGAAAACAAAGTGTGCACATGCAAAATTTACTGTAGTTTTAGATATTTGTATGAGGTGGGCACCAAAGCTGTGAAGACGATTTCGTAGGATGGAGTATATCTGGGCTGAAGTTCTCAGTATCTTCAATTAAACGTATTCTCTTCGAATTCTGTTGATTATTAGTATTAGGGCTATGATGTAATATGTACTGAAGAATATTCTACACAACTCAGTTGACTTTTGGTTTGAAGCTATCTGTACTATGTTTATTTCTCTTTTATATTACTGTTCTCATGTAGGCAGAAAGTAACATTTGAAAGGTGTTATAAAATCTGATAGCTGTATGGTAAATTCTATTTTGTACATATCAATTATTTGTATTACGGTAGGCAAAAGTAGCTAGATATCTATTATCGGTTTATAGAGGAAAGGGGTGATAGCATACGCTGAGTTAAAGCTACAAAATATTTGGTCGTGAAGACGGAGTCGTGATATTGAAATAGGCTGAAGTTTTACGTTATTAAACAAACTATCTAATTTGTTGTGGGCAGCGGGAACTTCGCCGTAGTTTAGCAACATACCAAAGTATTTCTCTCTATGAAAGATGTTTTGGAGCTAGTTTAGTAGCATGTGTTTGAACTTAAAGTAAAAGAGAATTGTTTCAGTTAGGGGTGGACCATTTAATTTAATTATACTTAATTAACGGCCGTTAATTAACGGGTTGCACTTAACCGTTAATTTCCACTTAATTAACTGATAAATGGTTAAATAATCATAATGTATGATCCTTTCTGACAACTAATTATCTATACGA